CGAGAGTCTTAATGGCATTCATATTACCGTTATTGTCAGATGCGCACTCTCGTATATTGCATGAGAACAACTAGAGAAGAAAGGTGTTTTGAAACACTAATTAATTATTTTATCTTTTTCGAACATAACATAATTCTCCGCTGTCCATTAGAGCAGGGGTGTCTGGAAGCAGTTAACAAATATTTGCAGCCAATGCTGTGCAGCCCTTCTGAAACATTTTTCGCGGAGAAGTGATGGCCATTATCAGTAACAAGCACAGCAGGAATACCCTCCCGACTGAAAATTTTAGGCAAAGCTTAAATAGTAAATCTGATGAGGGCGGCCTAGTGAAAAATACCTCTGATCACTTGAAGAACGAGTCAATGACAACAAGAGCATACATTCCATTGAGAAATGGACCACAATAATCAGCATGAAACACGTTGCCAAGCCTTATTTGATACAGGCCACGGAACCCACTTGGAGGACAACTGTCGAGCTTTGTGGTAGCATTTAGGGCAGCTCTTTGCTTTGGAACATATGTCGGAATCTATGTTCGGCCATCAACAAGTCAATCTAGCCGATGGCTTTATCTTTTCTATCCCAGGATGGCCGGAATATAGGTCGTCAAGTACAGCTTTACGCAACGTCCGTGGAATAATAACTCTGTCATTCAAACACAGTAATTCATCAGGCGTAATCGAAAGTTCACGTCTAGCATAGTGATATGGAAATCGCTTCCCGGTCTGTGCATTCGAACTCTTCCGCAAAGCAGTCATCACAGCAGAGAAATAACGACTTGTGTCACAAATAAGTTCTTGGCGGCTCACAAGGAGGGGTTGTACTAGTAGGGAATCAGAAATGTCCTCTGGGTCCGAAGCAGGTAGCGATTGACGCGAAATATAATCCACGTGTCGGATGTATTTGGCACTGCGATGTTCAGTTGTGTAATTGTGTAATCATGTGCACTGAGTGAGATACTCCAGTGCTGAACCACAGCTGCAGAGCTTCTGGAAAGGGATTTCCCAGGATCGAAAATGAATTTCAAGGCCTCATGATCAGGATCGATGGTGAAATGATGACCGAAAAGGAACTTGTGGAGGCGCTTGACTGCCCAATATACAGCTAAGGCTTCGCGATGAGTTTGAGCATAACCTCGTTCAGCTGCTGTTAACCGATGACACACAAATAATTGAATGCCCATTCTCATCAAGAATCGACCTAATTCCATCCGGTGATGCATCAGTAATAACAGTGGAATGAATTTTGGGATTAAATGGGTGAAGTAAAGCATCAGTCTGCGGAACATTTTGCAATTCACGTAGGTAATGTTCACCGGCATCAGTCCAAACAAATTTGTCACAAGAATAAAGCAGAAATAAGGGTGAAGATTTGTGACTCAAATTACGGATAAATCTAGAGTATCTCTGTAGGGCTCCAATCGATGATCTGAGTTCGTGTATGTTAGACGGTGATTTGGCTTTTGTTAGAGGAAATAGACGGTTCCGGTCAGGTTTGTACCCTTAACCATCAACTAAGTATCCGAGACATTCAAAATGAGAGACAGAAAATAAACACTTCTCAGGATTAACAGCAACATTTTTATCAGAAAATCTACGAAAGAGTTCAAGCAATCGTGCCTCATGAGTGGACTTGTCAGGAGCATGAACAATAATATCATCTTGATATACTTCAACACCAGAAGAAACACTAGTAATATCATTCATAACTTGTAGAAATATGGCAGGGGAGATGGATAAACCAAAACGGCAAAAAATGTATCTGTACAAACCAAAAGGGGTATTAACAGTTGTCAAGGTGGAGGAGGTTTCGTCTAACGGAATTGATAGATAAGCATGTTTCAAGTCAATCTTGAAAAAGACCATAGAAACAGTCAATTTATTCAGAATGTCCTCTGATTTCACTGTTGTACATGTCTGTTCTAACAGTCTTGGACTTAGGGTGATTCGATAATCATCACATATTCTGGGGATCTTTTCATCCGACTTGAGTGGTGTGACGATTGGTGTACCCCATGCTGAAGACGCCACCTTCTCTGCAACACCTTTGGAAAACAAGTCGTTCAATGCATTCATGACTGGTTCACGAAGGCCATATGGAATAACTCGGCATTTGAGAAAAACTGGATCGCCATTAACTGGTGGTTTCACTGGGGGAACTTCATGCCACCACTGGCCTTTGAGCATCTAATAATCAAATCTTTCAGTTCATTATCAGTATCGATAGTGGTTAACAACAAAAGATTGACATTTAATGCGTGCATAGCTTTCAAGCCT